TACAATATATTTGTTTTCAGAATTTGCAATGAAAACAACAAAAAACATTTTTGAAGCTATAAAATATAAATATTGAATTCAAAAAAAGTTATATTTGACATTGCAAAATATTTCAATAATATTTTTTTTTGGTTCAATAAGGTCAATTTTCTCTGCGTGAAGGTATTAAAAAATCGGTATTTATCGGTATTTACTATTTAATTAATTTTATATTTTTGCCGTTTTTGAAAGCGAAAATTTTAACGATGGTGACGACTGGGACTTGAAGAAAATTGTTTTATATAATGGCTTTCTCAGTCTTAAAACACTCTTTAATTTTTTTAATTATTTAAAAAAAAATATCGTTGTTCTCAAGTGGTGATCAAAATTGTGAACAAGTAGTTTTTTCAATTAAATATCATTAAATGCAACCAAAATATGGAAAATCAGCCACAACAACGACTAAACTACATATTGACAATAACGACAAACAATATTTTCCCTTGAAAAAGGCCACAACTTATGGCCGAAATGTCGGGCAGATTACATCGTAATCGTTGCAGTGTTTTAAGACTGAGAAATTACCGGCAAAGCAAAATTTTAGCTTTTGAACTATGATTGAAAAATTCCGGAAGAAAACTCCGGGGAATGTTTGAATTAGCTTCTGAACGAATCTGAAATAACATCCAGGGAAAGACGAAAGAAGCTCTCATGGATGAAGTTCGAGAAAGGTTCTAAGAAAAGTTGGAAAACATCCAGGAAACTTCCAATACACGAATTGAGAAAGTTGACGAAAATTTAAATAAACTGTCGAAAAAAAAAAATCGGATGTTACATCCAAAGGAAGCCAGAAAATGTCGGAAATCGGAAGTAAATTTCCAGAAGGTGCCATTTCCAGGGAAAGCCAGAAGAAGCTCGGAAAAAAACTTTCATTAGAATAGTTGAAGATGCTAATTTCAAATAACAGACTAAAGTGGTAATTTTTATACGATAGATGAGGAGGAGATGAAAGTATAGATTTGATAGTTCCGTTTAGAGTACGGCAGTGTGAAAATTGCATATAGAGAGTAGACAGCGAGCTACGACAACTTTTAGGAAGGTACAAATCGGTAATCAATTCTATACTTTCATCTCCTCCTCATCTATCGTATAAAATTACCGACTGAAGTGTTTGAAATTAGCATCTTCAACTATGTAAATCGTTGACTCCACGCAGAAGTAATACTAAACAATAGTCAAAGTACTTTCAATAGAAGTCAAACAAAAAAAAACCTTTGGCTTTTGGTTAAACTTCCAGAAGAAGACGAAAGAAATTTATGAGAGAATTAATTGAACTTCCTGGAGAAGACGAAAGAAACTTCCTGTAGACGATGGCAGAAACTTCCTGAGGTAGATTGGAAGAAACATCTGGAGAAAGTCGGAAGCCAGAGCGCTTATGGAACAGTCGAAAGAAACAAGGACATAATTCCGGAAGAAAGAGATTCCTGGGGGATGTTCTAGTGATCTAGAAAAAATTCTGATGTTTATAAAACATGCCTGAAGACTCTGCAATTTCCCTGAAGTTTTCGGAAGATTCCTGAAATGCACTTAGGAATAATTCCATAATTCCTCGAAATTCCGTAAAAGTTCTTGTATCTTTCCTGAAACTAGGGGCTGTTTTGGAGTTCTCTGGTCATCCTCGAAGCGCTCGGAACTTCCCTGATTATAATAAGACTACCGGAATATATCTAATCATCTATGAAGGTCTCTTGGACTTTCTTGAAGATTACGAAATCTCTTAAGTGCTCTCACATTTTTGTTTTTGAATTTATTGTAACATCAGCATTGAAGATCTCTGATCTTCCCGATTTTTTTTTTAATTTTTAAAATGTATCGACACTGCAATTAAAAAGCATAGAACATCCAATTAAATAAATGTTCTTACAATGTTCTAATTGTTATGTAACTTTCCTTAAGTTTCTTAAATTCGCATGAGCCCCTCAGGACATTGCTGAAATTTTCGAAAATTCCCTGAAAACCATTAAATTTCCCTGAAGTTCTTTGGACTTGTGAAGTTTCCAAAATATTTATGATGTTTCCTTAAGTTTACTGGAGTTCTCTGGACTTTTCTGAAATTTCCGGGTTTTCGTATTTTATTAGAAGTTAATGAACCTGTCTTCAATTTATCGAAACTTATACTAAAGTCTGGACTTTTCTGAAGTTTCAGAACTTCTTAAATGTTCCTGCAGCTAGTGTGGATCTGCAATAAAAATCTGATAGCATCCTTGAAGTTCCGGGAAAGTTGAAAAAACTGGTGGGAGAAGATGAAACAATCATTCGAGCGAAGGCTGAAGAAGCTTCCAAGGTAAGCTGGAAGAAAATTACAGGGAAAGTTGGATGACACTTCAGGAAGTTTAAAAATGAATGAAAACTTCCGGTTAAAAAAATATTTCTCGATTCCCTAGGAATTACCGGAAAGAACCATCGACTATTTCTCGATTGATGGGTAGTCAAAAACGGTGAGAAAATGCAAACATTTGTCGAAAGAATGATCAAGCATAAGGCATCTTTAGAGATGATTGTTTAGAATTTTGAAGGCTTAAAAATATCTGAGGTATTCAAAAAGAAACAAGTCTCTCACAAAAATTTTCTCCGAAATTTGAGCGAGGTTTTTTGATTATTTCAAATAAAAAAATCGGTATAAATCGGTATAAAATCTAAAAAATCGATATTCTGAGGAACCTTATCTGTATATCGGTATCTAGTTCAAAAATCGGTATATCTGGCAACACTGGTGGTACGGTCCAGGTGTGGGAGCTCTGCCTCCCTGGTGTCGGTAGCATTGGTACTCAGTACGGAAAACAAGATCGACGGAAAAAAAATCACTTGAAAAACACAATTTTGTTCCAAGACCCGGATAGACGAATGGCATATACCAATAGACTCATCTCAACGAGATCGGAAAATGTTTCTGTATGTGTGTATATAAGTATGTATGTATTTTCGTATGAGTGTAACTCATTCAATTTTTGATGTCTGGACCAATTTGAGTGGAACAAGTTCCAGAAGATGTGTTTCAGATCACCATATTGATTTTTTTCCCGATCAGAATTATGGTTCCGAAAATATGAACAAAAATGTGAATTCCAGATTCCACTGGAGAATTCACAAAAGATTGATATATCAAAAACTCATCATGCGACTCTGCAAATCACATTAGAATTTTACTAAAAGATAAATGGTGGACATATTCAGACCCAATGATCACAAGATTCTGACATGCGCCGAAATGCATCGTGCGATAGTTCAAATCACATGGAACTCAACATAATGATCAGTGAAGGATTTATACTGATTTTTCATAAAACTTCATTGATATTTATATATGGAAGAGAAAAAGTGCGTATTCATCATCGAAAAAGTGAAATTTTGAAATGTAGAACGCTAATGATTTTTATTCCGATCGCACATTGGGTTACGGAGATATGGCTAAAAAGTGACATTTTGAAATAACCGGCTGAGCCGATTTGAATGAAACCACTTCCATTTTGTTTAAACCGTTCTCCCATATGACGCTATTGAATTTTATCCTGATCGTACATTGCGTTCGCACATTTGAGTTTTTAAATTTTTGCCTTGATTACAAAAGTCTGTAAATATCTGTGAAAAAACTAAAAAGTATGTAAATGTCTGTAATGAAAACAATGTCTGTGAAAAAAAAATGAAGTCTGAAATTTCGACAAAATAATTTCTTATTAAATTAATTTTTTTGGCATATGAAAATTCATAAGTTAAGAAACTTAAGAAACTTAAAAAAAAAATAAAATGTAGCAGACTGCAATCGAGTCTCGACTTATGAACGACACATATAAATTTCATAAGCGTGACTTATGTATGATTTTCGTTTAACATGAGGTAGGTCTTATACGCCTATAACAATTTAATTTTCCCAAGCGTTGAAAGACAAGTGGTCAACACACATGCCCCGTAATCTTAATGTCCATAGTTCGGCTCCAGTCTGCTCCGTTTGAGATTTGTTTTGTCAATATTATTTTTCGTAAAGAAAATCAGAAAATTTTTAGTGGCTAAAAAAATCAAAAGTGGATCTAATGTAATTCTTACGTCCATTTGCCTCAGTGTATAATTCTTCTTCTTCTTCGCAGTTCAAGCTTATCGCATATTGGCTTATTGCGTGCTCTTAACTTAGTTTTCTAGATGCACTTCCACAGTTATTTATTAATTGAGACCTTTCGATGCCTGGACTATTTATGCATTAGTATAATTGTGTGGCAAAAGTACAATCATACTATATTACGCTCAGGAAAGTCGAGACATTTTCCGACCCGAAAATTCCTAGACCAAGACCATGGAATCAAACCAGGCCTTTACCAACTGAGCTAAGGGCGTCTATCAACGCTTGGAAAATAGAATAGGTTAAAGGAACCACTCTTAAACCTCATGTATTACGATAATCATTCATAAGTTGTGCTTATGAAATGCATAACTGATTGGAATTCATACGTATCTTACACTGAGGCAAAGGAACATTAGAATTCCATAAGAACCACTTATAAAATTTCGACAAAAGGATTATGGAAATCATTAGTTAGCTTATGAAACTTTAAAAATAATAATATAAAATGTAGCAGACCGGAAACGAATCTTGAGCATTCAGATTATTGACCCCATGATTTATTCCTACGCCTTTCAACGCTTGGGAAATATAATAGGTTAAAGGTGTATAAGAACCACTCGTAGTACCAGTACCTCATGTATTATATTAATCATTCATAAGTCGTGCTTATGAAATGTATAAATGCCTAGGGAGTTCATAAGTATCTTATGAAATCAAAATTGACCAGGTTCATAAGTCATGTCTTATAGAATTCTTAAGATTTTTTTGTCTCAGTGTATGAAATCAATATTGTCCAGACTCATAAGTCATGTCTTTTGGAATTTTGAAGATTTGTTTGCCTCAGTGTAGTATATTCTTTAAAAAAACAACTTTTATTTATAATTGTCTTTCTCTTTTTTTCCAAAAGGCCTCCATTCGATATATTGGAAGTGTGGCTCGAAAGCATGGCTCGGAATGCTGCTCTCGGCAAACCTCTTCCTTCGGATGTCGCATACGAAATTTATCACTACAAGGGCCAGAAGAGCAACGACTCGAGCATGTGTACAACTCCGGATGGCCTAGCAACGCCACCACCTTCGGGCGTAAAACCATCACTGAGTCGCAAGAGAATCAACGAAGGTATGGTAGAAGAGAAAGAAAATTGTGAAAAGACGGTACGACCCACCGATGGTGGTGTCGATATGGTAGACTGTGCAAGATCTTCTAATGGAGTTCGGGCAACGAAAGACAACATGGAAAACAATAACATTACCAATAGCGATAGCACTAGTAGTAATAGCGTAAATGCAAGCGGTTTCATTTTAGGCGGTACGGAAATACCGAGGTCGCCACATTTGAGTAAGGATTTTTCTCCCAATGGGGATCGGATTCGGGATAGCATAAGGGCACGACGAAGACAGCGGATGATACTTAACAGGGAAAATCAGCGGAAATCTTTGGATTCGAGTAATTTGGGTCTAAAACTAAGCGGTATGGATTCAGTGGTTCATGCGGATTCGAGTGTTTCGGAACCAACCAGTTTGATTCAGATTGATCCAAATGCACTGAAGCAACCTCCTTCGACGGAGGACGTTTTGAATTCGGTAAAGGATACTCTGGAAAAGAATCCTGGTCTAGCGAGGAGGTGCGATGAGTCACCTAGGACGAAACGTTACGGGGAGAAGGGTTTCATTATTCACGTAAACAATGGCAATTTAACATTAAATAACGTAAAAGACTTGGAAGGTTGCTCAGATTTTGACTCGAGTTGTGACACTAGTTTAAATTATATTGATCTGAACGGCAGCAGCGTAAATGCTAGTTTGTTACCTGCTGTAGAAAATGACGATATGGTAAGAACGAGGGAACCGCAGGATATTTGGTCAGTGCCGGTGGTTAAAGTTTCCCCAGAATCAGCAACTGCACATGTTGCTGTAAACTTAGAAGCACAGAAAATAACGAACAAATGTGCTCTGGAAGATCTTAGAACACAGTTGAGTATGTGTAGGAAAGACGATTTAGAAAAGCAGCAATCTGAGAAAGAAAACGTTAAAGTAGCGGTAGTAGCTGAAACTAAAGACGCGAAAAGTAGTAGGATGTTCAGTAAAATTAACCCGCTTGCAACTATTCTAGGAGGTAAGAACAGTTCGCCGGAGAAGGAAAGATCTAAGAGTCCAATAAAACCCAATAAATATACATCGAAGCTATTCCGTGTTAGTGATACGCCAATATTTGAGCGACGTAATATTAGTTCTCCAGTTCCTCCACCAATGAAACGTAGCGACTCAGGTGATCAGATTAAGCCGCCAAAATCTTCAAGTCAAGAAAAACCTATGTTCGCTTCGAAGCAAAAAGTTTCACCAACTTCTGATCTAAAGCCCCAGTCTAGTTTCGGTGAGAGTACTCCGACCTCGAGTGGTAATAGCTATGCCATTAGTAAGCTTAAAGCCTCTAGAAATATCTTTTCCGACAAAAATCTTCCTCAAGTGTTTGTCTACAAAACCAAAAAGACACCAACCGCAACGGCCCACGTTGCATCTGATGCCATATGTACAAGTAGCTCTAGTACCATTACTAGTAGTAAGTCGAAATCGTTAGCGGTAACAGTAGAAAAGCCGCCCACGAACAAGAAGCCACCGATTGCCGGTGGCGCCACTAGTAGTGGCAATAGTATACTTAGTTTAAATAAGAATCGCACTTTTCGACCGACGGAGAGTAGCTCGACAAGGCATTCCAGGCGTCAGCACTTGGACAAACCGGTCGAAAAATATGTGGCCTTATCGTCATCCCTTAGTGGAAGTGGTAGCAACTCTCGCACCGAGTCTCCTTCGCCTACCTGTGGTGTTAGTGGTGCTCAGAGTCGAGTACGAACGCCTAACAACCGCACCGGGATACTTTCACCTGAAAGCATCCGGAAGCTTAATGCCAGACTATTAGAAACTCGCAAACTGTCCAATGAAAGTGAGGCAAGTGCTAGTAATTCTTTGATTAAAAGTAGAATTACAGGGCACGGTGGAAAATCCACGGGGGCGCACAAAGGAGAGGCTCATCATGAGAATAAAAGTCGGTCAGTTGTGAAAACCAAAAGAGGTGAAATCAAAGCGGCAGCTATATGAGCTTGTCTGTTGGATTTTGAAATCTTTGCTTTTTTCTTGTCCCAAAATATCTAACATTAAAAATTAAAAATTTATCGGAAAAGAATGCCCGCACCCTCTACAATCGATACATTACCGAACTGGTTTCCCTTGATTCTAGTTTGCCTTCACATGTTGTTTTCTCATTACTCAGGGGGGCACTCGTGATTGACTAGTAATTTGTGAGAAATTGACATATGTTTCAAAAGCTACAGGTTCATACTAGAAAATGTGATCATGTACAAAAGCAAGATTGGTTAATTGGGGTCTACAGCGTTTGACATACGACCGTTTGGCATACAGTCGTTTGGAATACTTCGGTTGGCATACAGTCGGCTGGCATAATAGTCGTTTGGTATAACAGTCGTTTCAAACGACTCGTTTGGCATATTGCCGTGTTATTATAACATTGTACAACAATAATAGTAAATTTAGATAGTTTTTGGCATCTTACAAAAAAAAAAAAAACATAGCTTATTTTTGCTTAATCATTAATACAAACGGCGGTATCACGTTTATGGGGATGCCATTTCCCGAAGTAACATATCCCGAAATGATACATTTTCCCGTATGCCATTTCCCGAAATGATACATTCTCCGGAATTTCTTTTTCCAGAATGAGCAATTCTTTATTGAAATCGTCCAAAGAAAAAATATTTAGGGCTAATATCTAATGTTGGGCCTACTAAGCACAACCCACATTTTACCTGTCTATTTCATGCGGATTATTACACAAAATGGGATGTTGCCACTAAAGATGTTTTCAAAATTTACTCTTTCCATACATACTTTATACCGTTAGATTTGATCAAGAGTCACAAATGGTCGAGATATTGTCAAAAATCTAACACCCTTTCTTGATTTCAAACTCGGCTTATGAATTCTGATTGCGTCCTAACGCATTTAAACACAATTGAATTCACTTTGGCGTACGTTTGAAGTTAAGGGCTTCTTTTGTTTTCTAGAAAAATTGGTGTAAACACCCTACATTCTTTATCAAAATATTGGACTTTGAAAATGAATCCTGATTAATGTGGGTGTGGTTTTCCGGAAAATTGCATTCTGGGAGGAAGGAAATATTCCCTTCTTTATCAAAGTACATTTTTCCCAAGTACTATGCCAAACGACCACTATGTCAAACGACTATTATGCCAAACGGCATTATGCCAAACGGGGTAGAGCCGATTAATGGATTGATTGAGGATGCCCATTCAAATTTCAAATCGTTTGTGCAACTCCTATTTCTGCACAAATGGATCGTAAAATCTGTAGATTTTGAAATATATTTTTCTAGCAAGCTGTAGCAGGAGTAATGGTAAAATAAAACTCATCCAAATCATACAATAACAACTGTTCATCATAGGATAAAGTCTAATCGATTCGCTAATTGATTTAGAGCTGCTCTTCTTTGAAATATCAAGAGTGAATTTTCAAATAGCCGTATCTTATTTAGTTAAAAAACATTCAAACGTCAATAATTTGTTTGCGTGGGCGAGCTATTTGACGTTTGAATCTTTGTTTACAAAAGAAGATACGGCTATTTGAAAATTTATTCTTGATATTGCAAAGAAGAGTAGCTCTAAGTCAACTGGTGAATCGATCGAACTTTACCTTCTCCAATTCCCATGAAACTATGTGTGTTTGAATTCAGCCATTTTGACTCGCGCCTTTTTTTTCAAAATGGCGTATTCGATATTTTTCAATAAATCATAGCATGAACACGAGTCGTCTAATCGAAATGATTTCTGAGACAAAGTTGTAGAAAAATAGATGGGCTTTCTGAAAAAAAAAACAATATATTATATATAGTATTGCGCATTTTACACCAAACTGGATAAATAAGCGCGTTTTCATTTATTAAAAAGTGTGATAAATGTGCGAGTTTCCGTCTAATCCTCCTGATGTCTTCGGTGCACTTATTCCTTACGATGCAAGCAATAAAGATTGGAAGCTCGGGACATGGAACTGCAAATCGCTCGGCTTCCCGGGTTACAATAGGCTAGTCTATGACGAACTTCAACCACTTCGGAGTCGTAGCACAGCAGGAACTTTGTTGGACAAAGGGTATGGAAAAGCGGGCATCGAAGGGCTGCTTTCTACCAGAGCTGTGGCAGCACCAACGAGCTGGGAATCGGCTTTGTAGTGCTGGGTAACATACGCCAACGTGTGATTAAGAGCCATTTATTCAACGTGCACTGCCCACACGAATGGAGACCCTACCATGAGAAAGAAGCGTTTTATCTGCAGCCGGAGCAGGTGTACGAGTTCAGATTGACGGTGACGAAATCGAGGTGGAATAAAATTCGCCGCCGCACGAAGCTGACTATCTACAAGACGCTGAATAGACCGGAGGTTTTCTCCACGAGTCCTAGTTTATGCTCGTGGAGGACCAACGCGCCCTTGGTGTTTTCGAACAGAAGGTGTTGCGGATCATCTACGGTGGAGTGCAGACAGAAGACGGAACGTGGAGGAGGTGAAGGAACCATGAATTGCACCAGATGTTGGAAGAACCATCCATTGTCCACACTGTAAAAATTGGGCGACTATGGTGGGCTGGGTACGTCGAACAAGAAGAAGATGCGCGCCACGGGTTAGGTGGATCGACCAAGTAGAAAGCGAGCTGAGGACCATTCGTATACTACGAGCCTGACGACGTGTGGCCAAGGATCGGATAGAGTGGAGACGACGAGTGGTTCAGCAGAGGACGTCACGTCAAGGCCTTAGCCTGATTTTTTCACCTTGATGTGTTTTCCGTCGGACTTGTTTTCCGTACTGAGTACCAATGCTACCGACGCCAGGCAGCTTTCACACCTGGACCCTACCTATTAACCCATCAACTCGTGGACCTCGTGGACTTCCTTTCCGAAGGAAGGCTTGATCAGAGATTTTATGCCTCGGAAAATCCCGGCGAAGTCGACTGGGATTGAACCCAGGCCTTTTGGGGTGAAAGGCGATCACGCTTACCACTACATCACCGGCGTCGCTGTTAGCCTGATATGTAATTTAAGTTAGCAAGCAATAAGTGCTCCAAAGACACCAACATGATTTGACAGAAACGTGCACATTTATCACACTTTTGGCATTTTTGGGCAGTCCAGTTTCAGATGCAAGCAGCAATATACTTATGCCCTAATACGTCACGTTTTTTAGGTACCGTCGTGGCGGGCTTCTTTGGACACTTTAATGGTGTAAACAGTGAACTCGAACATGTTTGTCTGAAATCAATACACTGAAAACGAACCTTACCCAGAACCACACGGGCAAAAATATTGTCACTACTGCAATGTATTGACAATCATATTGATGCAAATATTGATGAACAAACACATTGCCGCAAAATCAAAAACAGTTTGATTTCGTATTTCAATATTTTTCCTCATTTTGCCCTTCTGTTTGACAGAAGCAGATGGGGCCTGTGCATCTTTTGTCAGTAAGGTTGTCATTTGTTTTGGAATATTCCATCAGATATAACACATTTGATGAGAAACAGCCCTGTATTGATTACTCACAAAAATTATTGTTGAAAATATTGACGTATCGATGGAAATATTGACAATACTTCTACCGTGTGGGGTGTACTAGGAAGTGAGTCACTTTTACTCATTTGTATGGAGAAATTTCGTGGGTTACTCATGCGATGAGTGACCTACACTTTTGGAAATTTCTCCATACTAATGAGTAAAAGTGACTCACAACTGAGAAAAATGACTCACTCTCTGAGTTAGTTTTGTTTTCAGTGTAAAGTAGTTATTAATAGGATGTGGGAATACCTTTATGGCATGTAATGAGAAGTATTTGAACGACCAAGATTGATTGTAGAAAATGTTCGACAAACTGCAGTCGAAATGTTTACAGATGGGGTTCTTTGACACGGGGTAAATTTTCATCTATTTTGATAATAAAATGGGCAAAATCAATTGACACCATAAACTCCATCCAAAAAAAAAAAAAAAAACACAAAAACATCGTCACATCAGTCGAATTATTGCTTTAACAAATTTAAAAAAAAAAATCATGAATTTTTTTGTATGGTGGAGATTTAATATGGAGAAAGAAGCATCACCTCTTTTTTTCTGTACCTGGCCATTACATTGTCGTAAACAATTTTCCTTGTCTCCCAGTAGGATAAACCTAAAACATAGAATAATAACTACTCTGTTACTTTGTTACCCTGTTGTATTCAACACTATGGTGGCCCGCTCATTTGAAGTCCTCTAATTCTCAAGAGGTGAACCACCAGAAAGCCTCTATTGTAAGAAAAAAGTCCATGAAATATTTTGCACTATATGGTATGGTGAATGTTAAACAACTCCCGAGAGGTGTTTGTGAATGCCACGATGTTGGGTCAAATTTATGAGAATGTACACTTTTTATAGAATTCGTTGGTATACTTTTCCGCTTAATTATGGGAAATGCTTAATGATATTAACTTAAGATTTTATACGATCGAGTAAACTGTAGTCCCAGTAATAAGTTGTTGATAACCATTTAATCGATTCTCAAATCTACTTCATTTGATTCAACAAGTTTGAAAGTGTTCAAATAGCCCGTCCAGTTCTAGTTCGACTTTTCACCCCTCATTTCGGTGATATTTCTAATACTCAAACGATGTCTTTTAAATCGCGGATCCCCTCCGTGTTGCAAGCGCGCTGATCTCATACAAGCTTGTAGGGCGATACAGCCACATAAAGAGAGCGGAACGTACATAATGGGGGTTATTCCGAGAGTCGAAGTGACTTTTGTCACTAGTGAAGTGAGTGATTTGCACAGAGCCACTTCACCTCAAAGTGACATTTCTCACTTCTCACTGTCTGTCTCTGTGTGTATTCCCTCTAAACCCCACTGGCCGGCAGTGTTATTATGGAAGTTGACATTTCTCACTTCACTAGTGACAAAAGTCACTTCGACTCTCGGAATAACCCCCAGTGACGTGTTAGGGCAAACGTATATGCTTCACTTTAGCTCAGGAGATCATAAGCAACTAAAATATGGTAAAATGAGGGGGTTAGAAGGACTTTGATCGATTCTCTTCATCGACTTTCTTTTTTGATAGCCACAGCTTTATAAACAGATTTTGCGCTATTTCTGCCACATAGTTTGATAAAGAAGGTTCTAGCATCTAGAATGGCACACTAATCAAGGAATGTGTTTGCCGCTGAATTATTAACGAAAGAGAAAGCCGATGACCAGAATCGATCAAAGTCACTTACACCACTTTTCTTCTAACCCCCTCAAATGTTTTTGTCCTAGAAAGTCGTGTAGCACTGTGTAATTATTTCCGTGCGTCAGAAAAAAAGAAGGTTATGCCAAGAGTCTGACTTGTAATGTGGTAGGGTCAAACTACTCAGAACTTCCTGTTGCGTTTCGAAATATTTCAACAGACAATTTTTCGTTCTCCAGAGGGCTATGTATGTGTCAAAAAGTTAAAAAGTTGTCGTGATAAAATAGATTTCTGGTCCACTGCACATTTGTAATAATTTGGATTGGAATTAACTCGAAAGTTATCTTTTTGATTTGTGGTACCTATTAATACATTGTCTACGCACATTTCGTCTGATTTTAATACCTGTTATTGTGCACCATTTAATATTCAGAATATAACTTACTCCAAGGTTCAGTTAAAGGTAAAAAAAAAAAGAGTTCAAAATTAAGAAAGTTAACGTAACGTAAGCAACATGTTAATCTCACAAACTAAAATGTCTAAACGTCGAATTTGACTTCCGGTTGTTGACTGCACTGATCGTGTTTGCACCGTTTCCGAATTTTCCCTCTTCTTGACTAAATATACAAATGAAACGCCTCGAATATGTCAGTTTTTATGTTACACACACTGTTTCTCTCGTATAATTGCAACGTTGTAACGTAGGAAGATTCTCCTAATTTGTACTGTACTTCTTATTATTATAAGTTTATTTGTCAATTTACTAATGTAGACAAGT